CGCAGCGTCGGACAGGTACCGCCTCATGGCTGAGCGATCCATCGAGTTCGCCTTTGTCGTTGACCAGCTCGAGTGCCGGGAGCTGCTCAACTAGAGACTCTTAAAAACGTGAGCCGTTACAAAAGTACGTCCGTTACACAATGACCGTTTCGAAACTGCGAAGATGCCATGCGATGGGGGTGGGAGAGAGGAGGAGGAGGAGGAGGAGGAGGAGGAGGAGGAGGAGGAGGAGGAGGAGGAGGAGGAGGAGGAGGAGGAGGACGGAGGAGGAGGAGGAGGAGGAGGAGGAGGAGGCGGAGGAGGAGAGGGAGGAGGAGAGTCACGGTCCTGAACCCTAAACCCTCTTGTAGGCGAAGAAGGCGAAAGCGAAGCACGAGAAGGAGGTTAGCGACGCTGCAGCCTCCTGCCTCCCCTGACCCCTCCCGCAGATCAAGAAGAGTGAATCTCTCCAGAAGCCCAAGGTATTCATGAAGTGGAGGACGAGGACAAGGATGAGGACGATGAGAGAGTGATGACCGAAGAGGAGGAGGAAGAGGAGGAGGAGGAGGAGGAGGAGGAGAGGAATAACTGGAGGTGGGGAGGAGGAAGAGGAGAGGAGGAGAGCGCAAGGGGGAAAGAGCTCTCTAGTCAGACGCGGCAGGTGGAGGACGTCAAGTCAAAGTCAGCGAGCAAGTGGGGAAACCTCGTCTACCTCTGTGCGGTTCACTTCAAGGGCTTCAACGTCCCTGGTCAAGTTTATGAGATGTCCTCGTTCGCCGAGGGGAAGCTGAAGAAGCTGGTGGGAAATGATGATGTTGATGATGATATTGATGATGATGATATTGATGATGATGATATTGATGATGATGATGATGATGATGATGGAAGTCATAATGGAGATCATGATGGAACTCATACTTGTTCCTCCATCGTTATGTGAATTGTAAATTCGTGGCAGGCGGACTCAAGCAGAGATGCTTTTATAGAGTACAACATGAGGCAGCTTGCCAGGTGACAGCAGAGGAGAAGAGTGAAAGAGGTGGAGGGAGGGGATGAGCACAGGAGGAGGGGAAACAAGATGGAGGACAGAGGATTGGAACAGTAGAATGTTGACTTGTTGGCAGAGTTTATCCTTTCGGAGGAAGAGTAGACTCTTCAAATCTTGATCCTGCAATCGGTGAGAGGACCCTACTTCTTGCATCCTGCTCCTGCTCCTGCTCCTGCTCCTGCTCCTGCTCCTGCTCCTGCTCCTGCTCCTGCTCCTGCTCTCCCTTCCTCCATATACGCTTTCACTTCTCACTCTCCTCCTCCTCCCAGCATGGGCATCTGGCTGTCAGCTCGTAGCGCTCAATTTTCAGACTGGAGACAATTCGATGTGGCTCAATGTAAGCGCTTGCTCCTCCTCTTCTTGCTCCTCCTCTCCCCCCTTCCCTTCCCGTTTCTCCGTTGCTG